ACGGCTTGCACCGTGTAGCTGTCACGGAGGGTCTCGTGCACCGTGCAAAGGAGCACGACTTGCACCCTGTAGCTGTCACGGAGGGTCTCGTGCACCGTGCAGAGGAGCACGGCTTGCACCGTGTAGCTGTCACGGAGGGAGCACGGCTTGCATCCTGTAGCTGGCCGGCAGCCGCTGCAGGGTGATGGGAGGAGCGATGGGGCCGTATCTTGTCCTCGGAGAGAGGACGCCTAGTGACAGAAGATGCCTGCTGGCTCTTCAGATGCTGCTCCTCCTCACCGTTCATTCATTCACATACTTAGCAATCTGCCTGCTGTGTAAGACGTCTGACTCGAGGCAATGGGGACAGAGCAATAAACAACGAAGATCCTCCCTTCAAAGAGCTAAGACTTCAGTGAGAGAGATACTGTGCTTATAGAGGTCTCAGTTTAGGTGCCACGTCCTCAGAGGTTTCCTTGACCATACGACCCAAAGTAGCTTTTCTCCCTGGTGGCTTTTATTGTTATGCTTTACTCCATCATCATGTTCTCACTCTAAAACTAGGTAAATGTATCACAGTTATAATCATTTGTTTACCATCTGTCTCTCCCTTTAAAATGTAAGGACCATGTCTGTCTTGTTCCCTTAATTCCCAGAGCCTAGCACAGTCTGGTAAACAGTAGGTGCTAAGTACTTGCTGACAAAGAATGAAGAATATACCCAGGGGCGCCTGGGTGGCTCAGTCGGTTGAACGTCTGATTTTGGCTCAGGTCACGATCTCCCAGTTTGTGAGTTCGAGCCCCGCGTCGGGCTTGCTGCTGTCAGCGCAGAGCCCCGCTTCGGATCCTCTCCCCCTTCTCGTTCCGCCCCTCCCCCGCCTGTGCACGCTCGTGCTCGCTCTCTCTCTCTCTCTTAAAAATAAAAACACTAAAAGAAAAAAAAGAAAAATACCCGTATGTATAACTTAACTTTCCTAAAAATGTAGAGCTTTTTAGATTCAAACAATTTCCCTGCGTCTGATGGCCAAGTGTTTTTCTAACCTCTCAGCTCACAGAGTCCTTTTAATGCAGTTACTTTAGGAGCCACCTCACAGCTTGTAACTCCTACGAGGAGGTACCTCAGTCAGCCATCAGAGATGGCTCTTTTCTGGCTGTCACCCTAGCTTAACTTAGCCGCCCTTGACGATTTCATAATCAACTCATTCAGTAGTGAACACCTACGACGTGCTAAGTAGTGGGGAGACGGGTGTAGCACAGAACAGCATGAAAATGATCTCTGCCCTCAAAAAACGGACAGTAAAGTGATGCATTCAAGGCACCAGGCAACTATGAAACTGGACAGTAAGTTCTATGACGGGAAGGTAGAGCGTGCCAGGGCAGGGCCACTGGCCACAGGCCGGGCAGTCAGCTCACCTTCTCAGAAGAGGGAGCGTGAAGAATGGGGGTGTATGTAACGGCTTAGGTCCTGGGCTGAATGCTAGATGGATGCAATACGACAAAACAACCACCAAAATAAGTAAATAACACTCAAATGGTGCTTATTACGTGCTGTGTATTCTTCTGAGCACTTTACATACACTATTAACCATATACTGTTATTATAAACAGTACTAACCACATATATTATTAATTTATTCAACGTTTACAACAATCCCGTAAGGCATATACTAGTATTGTCCTCGTTCTACAGGACAGACGTGAGGTACAGACGGTTGAGGGAAGTCTCCAATGTTGTTGAGCCGGGGCAGTCTGGGGCCGGAGCCTGAGTTCTTCACCTCTACACTGTACTGCTTCTCAAAAGCATTACCGACTGTTTTTCTTATTCTATGTTTTCTTTACTATAATGACAACTATTTACTGCTACACATGCTATATTTTCAACGGCCATCACTAGTATTAAGTGATCCAATAAAATCAGTTCCTTTTCAACTCAGAGCTTAAGGTATGGATGGCAGTTTGTAACATAACTTTTAAGGGGCGACTAATTATTGTCAAATGTCTGAAGAATATATGAAGAAACACAAAGTTTGATCGATGATTTCACTACCCCTTAAAACAAAAGCACCCAACAGAAAAAAAGGGCAAAAACCATTTGGCATTTTCTTAATGCTCAATTACACACCACATATGATCCAGCAGTTGTAATCCTAGGCATCTACCCAAAAGAGCCATATATGTACGTCTGTAAATATGCATGTATGTGTGTATAATATGCATATGCAGAAGAATGTTTACAGCAGCCCTATTTTTAACAGCCTTAAACTGGAACCCACCCAAATGCCCTTGCCCATGAACAACAGACCAGCTAAACAAACTGTTATCTACCGCAACCGAATAGTCAACAAGAATGAGAATGAATGCTTCACAACTATATGCAACGACACGGATGAATCTCGCAAACGGAATGTTAATGAAAGAAGCCAGACACACAAACACACAGAGTGTAGGATCCCATTTACATGAAGTGCAAAGCCAGGCAGAGCGAACTGATGCTATTAGGGGGGCAGGAGAGTGGTTTGTGGCAGGTGGGTGCCTGGAAGGGCGCACGAGGAGGCTTAGGAGATGCCGGAGATGTGTCGTGTCTTCGACTGGGTGGTGGTTACTAAAAGGTGTTCGGTTTGTGAAAATCCATCAACGTACACTTATGTTTATACTCTTCTGCATGTATGTTCTACAAAAAGTTAAATGAACGTTGATATCATTTTTAAACACAGGGTCTATAATTCTGAAAGAATTCGACAGGAGGGGAAATAATTATCATCATCACCTAATCACTGGTTGCCAACCATGTGGCAGGTACTGTGTTAAAAGCTTTACGTGAATGAATCTCACTCAATCCTCACAAACATCTTACGGAAACAGGCACTATTTGTTAGCTCCATTTTCCCATGAGAAAACTGAGGTTCAGACACATTATGTAATGTGTTAGAGCAGAAAATCAAACTCAGGTAACCCTAACGCCAGAGAGCATATTCTTAGCCATCTAGCTATACCAAATGTCAGTCAGCTATGTCAAGGCAGGAGAAACACACTGGTCTTAAAACTTACTCTACATGAATATTTACTCACATTATTTTTCCCAATGGAACCTCAAATTAGAAGAAACACTAGACATACTAAAGTATAACAAACAATAGCCTAGACAAGTTGTTCTCCACAACCAAAACTTTCTTCTGTCGCAGCGTATTTGTTCAGGCCTGAGAAAATACGTTAAGGTGTCCAAAAATAAACTCTACTTCTCTAATTCAATTCTCTGTCCCTTAAGATTTCTTACTCCAATAAAAAAAAAAAATACGTCTTTAAGAAAACATAGCATGGCAGAAAAATACCAGTATAAGCAAACGTTAGCACTATTCTCGATCTCAGCGAGCTGAGCGGGTTGTATCTGAGACCGGGCTGACGACTCACATTCACAGTGTGGAGTCACCAAGCGAGTTCATGAGCGGAAACAGAACAAATGCATTATGTAATAAAGTTTTAACGAAGGTAACACAGGGAAAATAATTCTACAATTAGCTACAGCATTTGGCAATTTACCAACATGAAATTTACCTCTTTGGAGGGGGAAGCGGGAGATGTGAAAATTGTCATCCAATAGGACCATACAAACATAACAAAGAACAGATGGAAAGCCACAAGGTAAACAACGGCCTTTCCTGGTAAATAAAAACAAATAACATTTCATTGAATCCAGGTGAAAACAGGAAGAAGCTTTACATTAAAACACAATATTTAGGGTCAGGAGGCGTAATCCAATAAATAACCTTCATTAAAATCTACTGAAGACATCAAATATGTAAACGCCTTTATCTGCATGACGTCACAATTACAGATATGAAGAAACATTCAATTCCTGCATTTAAGGGTTATCAGCCTGGTTTATAAGTAAAGACTGCAGTCTAAGAGATTTGATTTTATTAAAACGCTTAAGATTCAAGTTGAAACACCTTCTCTCAGTGTATTTCAAGGTCTTTCTAAAAGTTACATCTAAAAGTTACATTTTAAATGATTTAAAACTTATTTAAGACAGAAGCCACCACCATGAACATTAAGTCCAAGGAACTATCAGCTGAAAGTACTACAGGGAGTTCCCATCACAGTGAATAATGAGTCATCTGAAAAACTCAGTTCCTGGATTGTCCAGAAAAGTTACGCTAAATTTCATTCTCCTTTCCACAAAGGGTACCCAAGAATTTTCAGCCCCTTAAAATTCCTGCCATAACTGGTTCCCAAGCAGATCAGCGTAACATTCTAACACCCTTAGCTCCAAATATTAACTCACAGATATAATTCAAAGCTTTTTGTTGTTTCTGCAGTTTTTCTATTTGAAAGAAGCAGAACAGGTTTCCGAAAGAAGCAAGGACTCTTTACCAGGTGCCTAAAGTCCTTTTCCATTTGGAATGTGGCACCACAAACCACTGAACAAAACCAAATAGACACAAGCATAAAAGTCTGCAATTCTACTCATTTTGAAAGTTGAGATCAAATGTTACTTCTTCCACATAAGCCTTCTCCATTACTTTTGCAACTCATTACCTCTTCATACCATACTCCCTCCAAAATCTGCTCAGACTTCAGTTAAAGCCCTTAATTGGTTTCATTAAAGTTAGCTGCTTAATAATGATGACCTAATACATGCAAAACATTTAAAACAGTGCCTGGTACATAATAAATCCTTAATAAATACTGGCTATTTTTTTAAGTAATCTCTACGCCCAACGTGGGGCTCGCACTCACAACCCTGACATCAAGAGTTGCATGTCTACTGACTCAGCCGGCCGGAGCCCCAGTACTGGCTATTATTATCATTACTATCCAAGAATCTTAATTTCCTCTCAAAATTTGGTTCTTTTTGCACGTTCCCTATTTCAGTGTTTCCCAAGTTAAAGAAATGATAAAAGTTTTCACTGGTCTGCAGTGAAATGAGAAACATTAAGAACAATGTCGTGAAGTTTTCATAAAGCTAACATGTATTGAATTCGAAGTACTATTCTTCCTTTGGTCTGAGGTTATTTTTCTCTCACTTCTGGTTTAAAAAGTGTTCTTTTGAAATAAAATAATGATAAAAAAATTAACAATCGTTGGACCCAGCCTTTTCTTTGGCTGTTATACTGGTGCATGTGTCGCTAAGAGAGCAGAACCACCAGTCCCACAGTTAACTGGCGCGGGAAGCCCGGGCCCAAGGACTCCTCACGTCGCACTGCTGATCGGCACAAAGTCCTTCAAATTCCAATTCCTAAAATCTCTTTCAAAGTAAACTCTCTCTCGTTATTTTCACTCTCAGTGTAACAGCTCATATCCTGTTGCTGATCTCATTTGGTTCACTGCAAAAGCCAACTGGTCTCCTTGCCTCCAGGCCATCTCAATGGCCAGTGTAAAATGTGTTGTTCAGAGTATCACCTTGGCTGTGACACTGCTGGGAAGGAACTCCACGTGCATGACTGGTGTATGCGCTGTAAACCACTGGGACTTCTTAGTAGCCACGTTTGACCACAGCTACTCAGATCACTAATTCCACCCACTGAAAGCCTACCTGAAGGTATATAATGTATACCTTATTTCTAACCCTCCCTATAGTCCTGGAAGGTGTTCTTTCAGTTTACAAACGTGAAACCTGAGGCTCAGAGAATTTAGTATCTTGCCCAATGTCACTTAGTAAATGATAAAGCCAGAATTCAAACCCACATCCGCTTGACAAAAATCCAAGGTTCTTTTCATTACGTCGTATTTTCCAAAAGTATATTTTCCTTCACTTTACCCACCATCTTAGTAGTTACATCCGATTTCAGAGCCAACACCTGATGCCAAGATAAAATCTTTCCCACAACTCCCATCTATCTTCAAATTTGCTTTCTTTTCAACGTCCACTAGAACTGATTGTCACCCTCATTGAAAATTCTGGTTTCTGAAAATCTCTGCTCCCTTCAGGTTGAACCCCACGGTCTACCCAATGGATTCATTATTATCCCTTCATTTGACTTTCCTTTGGAAAAGTATACTGGAGCTCAGTCTCCTACTGTTATATGAACAGTGAGGCATTTACTGAGTCTGCAGTATTATTTTTACTTAGCTTGCTTCACTTCTTCATATTTTTGCCTGGCCTCCATATTCAATCAAATTTGTCAATCTTCGTCTGTATACTACTGTATAGCTTTGAGATAAACGGTAACCTTGAGGTACTTTAAACTTCTTAATCATGTAGTTACTTACAACTAAGGTCAGCATATGAAACAATATACTCTCAAAATATTTTTAAAGACATTTAATATATTTTTAGAGTATTTCTGCTCTCCACAGAACAAAATGGTTTCTGCTTTAAAAAATCTCAACCCTCAGCTAAAAGAACAAAACAGATAAATCTCTTAGCATAATGCCTGAAATATAATAAGTTCTTAACAAATGGAAATTATCCCATTATAATGTAATGAAACACTGCTTTTATTTATTTATGTTTATTTTTAATCTTGAGAGGGAGGGAGAGAGAGACAGACAGACAGACAGACAGAGCACAAGCAGGGGAGGGGCAGAGAGAGAAGGAGACACAGAATCCAAAGCAGGCTCCAGGCTCTGGGCTGTCAGCACAGAGCCCAACATGGGGCTTGAACTCATGAACCACAAGATCATGACCTGAGCCGACATTGGACGCTCAACCGACTGAGCCACCCAGGCGCCCTGATGAAATACTGCTTTTAAATAAATTAGAAATAATGTGATTGTTAGTAAGAAAACTTCTGGTCACATATATATGCTATAAACCATTGGTCAGAAGTAACAAAGTAAAATCTTAGTTAACTAAGCAAATTAAATAAAAGCAAAAAAAAAATCTATAAATCAAAAAATCTGATTCAAAAATCACCTGTAAGTGAATTTAAAAAAACAAACAAATAAGCAAACAAAAAAACTCCATCAAAAGAATCTTTGAAAGACACGGGCAAAATAGCCCCAAGAAATAATAAGTTAGATGTTCTTTTATAAATACTTCAGAAATTTCTCTGCTTTCTGTATCTGTGCTATCACATATAGAAAACAGTTTTGATTTAAAGGAAGAAAATCAAGCCTACCAAGGGGAAGTCTATATTCCTCTCCAACCCTGGCTAGAACTGACAAATTAGAGTCAAAGGCAACTTGAGATCTACATGCTTAATGCCTAATTCTTTCCAATAAGTATTTATCAGTAATTTCTAACTGTTCAACTGTTGTAGAAATCCTCTGGATTTTGTATCTCAAATCAAATTTTATTTTTGAAATTTGATTTCAATAACTTAGTATTTTCTTTTATCCTGGTGAAATATTGAGCAATGACTTTTCCCTCTAGGCATTATCTCGTTGACTAGTTGTTACAAAAAGTAGAATTCCCTTTCAAAATAAACTCGTAATACAATTCACAAATTTAGTCTGGTTATTTTGTAAGATGTCTGTGAGCAGTAAAGCATTATTTTTAACAAACACATTATCAAGAGAACCATCAGTAAAATCTGGGCGTCATGAAACAAAATCCCCTCTTCAACCCTAGCTAGAACGGATATTAAAAATCTTTGGGGGTGCCTGGATGGCTCAGTTGGTTGGGCACCTGACTCTTGATTTTGGCTCAGGTCATGATCTTGCGGTCCTGGGACCAAGCCCTGTGTCAGTTCCATGCTGAGGGTGGAGCCTGCTTGGGATTCTCTGTCTCCCTCTGCCCCTCCCCCACTCAAGCTCTCTCTGTCCCTCTAAAATAACTAGCTAAACATTAAAAAAAAAGAAAAAAATCTTTGAAGTACTACTGTCAAGAGTTCTGAAGAACATACAAGGCATAAATATGTACATAAAGATATCAAAGAAGTTTGGGTACTAGGTGCCTTACAAAATAACAGCTACTCCAATTTATATAAACACCACAAATGAAAAGGTATCGAATGAATATGAATAAACACAATACTGTATCTCCTACTTAAACTTTAAAAACATAGATTTTATTTCTGAAAACAAAAACACATATAGTCATCGCTAAATAAAAGCAAGCGGGTTGCAATTACGATACCATAAATATTCTACTTAAATTGAGACTTAAATTGCCTTACCGTTTTCTCCATTTCCAGAGAGAGTAACTAGAATAGAAGAAACATAGTGAATAAATAATATACTTTAAACATTTTGTGCATAAATTTTATTTCAGAGCGACTATTCATCCTAATATCTTTTTCACAAAAATAAAATTTAGTTATAATATGTAAACACTAATGCAGATTCAAGATTGCACACTTTTTCTTATTTTTTTAAATATAATTTATTGTCAAATTGGCTAACATACAGCGTATACAGTGTGCTCTTGGTTTTGGGGGTAGATTCCCATGATTCATCGCTTACATACAACACCCAGGGCTCATCCCAACAAGTGCCCCCCTCAATGCCCATCACCCATTCGCCCCTCTCCCCCACCCCTCTTCACCTCTGTTTGTTCTCAGTATTTAAGAGTCTCTTATGGTTGGCCTCCCTCCCTCTCTGTTTGTAACTTTTTTTCCCCTTCCCCTCCCCCATAGTCTTCTGTTAAGTTTCTCAAGTTCCACATATGAGAAGACTGCACACTTTAAAAACACTAAACTGCTAAACATAAAATTTTTTTTCTCCTCAACCAATCACATTAAAATTTTTTTCAGACCTTTGTTACTTTCAAACCTATCAATATGTATACAGTTATGTTTTCTTTAGCTCTTTCCTTAATGCCACCTACAGAATAAATAGGACTCTCCTCTATGGCACTCATATTTACGTCATCAGTCTGGGATGTACCTTACTAAACTTTGTGAAAACTATACTCAAGACAATTTGTCTTTTTCTATAGAAAAAAGGAAAGGAACCCATCCCTATAATTTTTAGAGTGCTTTTTATCTCTAGCCTAAAACCCTGGGAATTGCTATTTATTCCTTCTCTCCAGGTAGTCCAATGGCTTTTAGGTCCTGTTAATTCTACTACCTAAGCCTCTTCAAATCTGTCACCTCCTTTCAATTTTTCCCATTACCTTATTTCAGGCCCTCTTCAAACATAATGGCTTAAAGACACTTTCAACTATCAGTTTCAACACACCTCACCACCAGCAAATTTGATGGCTGAATATTCTTTAACACTTCCCAGCAGCCTTCGGAATAAAGTCCAAGATCTTCAGGGTAGCAACCACAGGCCCTCTGTGATCTACCTCTCCAGTCTGTCATTTGCCCATACCTGTGGTCTAATTATCCTGAACAAACAGCAGTTTCCTAAATGTATCAAGCAGTTTCACATGTGCTGTGTGCCTCTCCAACTCACACTCCAAGGCACAGTTTAAATACTACCTCCTTTGTAAAGCCTTCCGGAGTCCCTCTTTAGGCAGAGCAGACACTCCTTTCTATCATCACTGCTCACTCTTTCATCTCTACCATGCCACGCCATTTTTTTTGCAATTACTTGGTGATATGTCTGTCTCACTCTACTGGACTGCACAGGTGTGGAATCATGTCTTAGATTAACAACCCTAAAAATTATTATTAACTGTATTTTACAGACAAGTAAGCTAAAGCTCAAAATATTTAAGTGCCTTGGCTAAAGTCGCAAAACTAGTACATGTAGTGTAGCTCAAGCCTCCTTGGACTTGTATTCTGTCCTATAGTGTCTCTCACCTTATTCATTGTTTTAGTTCCAAAGCCTGGCATACAGCAGCAATGCTTAAGAAATATTTGTTAATTCAATAACCATTTTGGACTAAAATCTGTTGATAAAAGAGAGAAGTACCTGGACACCTCCTTAATAAACTAAAATATATCTACTTCAATCCCCAAACCAGCATAATTAATGAGAAACACGACAGAAGTATTCCCACTAACGTTCAGGAACAAAATAAGCAAGTTCATGATTTTTTTTAAAGCATTGTTTTAGAGAAGCATAGGGCTTCTTCCCAACCCAGCTCAGATCAATCAGGTAGAACAGCGGAGTAGTTAGATCCTGGGCTGGTCCCCCCTGGCCTCACAGAGCATTCCCCATTTATGCTAATATACACTAAAAATATAATTTTCAATACTGTCCTGATGTGAAATGATTAGGAAGCACTAGGCAAGCCACACAATTATGAGAAATAAATTAGTGGTATACAAATGGAAAAGAAGCAAATGTATCACTAGTTGTATATTGTAAGACCACATGCTTTCATAGCCAAAGAAAACCAACGGAGAAACAACCATAAACGAAGGTGGTAGTGGTATACAGAAATCAGAGCTTTCCCAACATACGTGCAATCACTCTGTAGAAATTATAAGTGAATAAAAGTTTTATTTATAAAGCCACCTAAAAAAGATAACATTCCTATGGATGAACATAAGAACTGGGCAAGATCTACACGAGGGCTCCCCACAAGCCTCCACTGATACCATGGGGACGGATGCTTCATTCCTGCCCCGTGGGAATGGACATCTACCAACTGCCCAGGCCTTCACCTGCTCTGTTACGGCCCCAGTAGGAAAGTGGGGGAGGAGATACAAGAGGGTTTCCTTGTGAAAGCTGGGCCAGGGGGAAGTCTAAGCCCACGCTCAGCCTCTGCTGGAGAAAGTGGGGACAGAGTGTAGTTCTTCCATGGTTTTTGGCTGGAGCAGGGCCAGTTACTGTCTAGTTTGTCTTCCTAGGTTGCCCTTCTCCTGGTTTGGCTAAAGAAAACCAGCTTTCTTGGGGTTTTTCTGTCTGTGCCCACTGGTGCTTCCAGGTTGGCAGCTTCTCTAGCATGCAGGATGGGACACATGAAGCAGGGAGTTTGCCTCAGTATCATTCCTCAGGCACCGAGGTCCTCGGCTGATCTGCCTTTCTCTCTCCACACTTCAGCATCTTATGTTTGTTTATGTTCCAGGGTTTTATTATTATTATTATTATTATTATTATTATTATTATTATTATTTTAATGTTTATTTATTTGAGAGAGAGAGAGAAATAGAGACAGACCGTGAGCAGGGGAGAGACAGAGAGAGAGGGAGTCACAGATTCTGAAGCAGGCTCCAGGCTCCGAGCTGTCAGCACAGAGCCCGACGCGGGGCCTGAACTCATACACTGTGAGATCATGACCTGAGCTGAAGTCGGACGCTCAACCGACTGAGCCACCCAGGCGCCCCCCGTACAATATCCAGGGGTTTTCGTTGTACTTAGCAGGAAGAACAGTAAGAGTGTGTATTCACTCGTCCCAGAACTGGAAATTCCAATTTGTTTCTTTTTACTGCAGAGTAGTATTCTATTGTATGGAGGTCCCACAACTTATTTATCCATTTACCAGCTGATAAGACATTTGCTTTTGGTTTTTGGCTACTATGAATACTCACATACAAACCTTTGGGTGGACATATATTTTCATTACTTGGGTAAAATATTAGATACGAGATTGCTGGAGCTCTGTTTAACTTTATCAGACACAGCCACACCGCTTTCAAAAGTGGCTGTATTGTTTTACATTCCCCACCAAAAATGTATGTTACAAGTTGCTTCACACCCTCATCAACACTTGGAACTGTCCATCTTTAAACTCGCAGCTATTCTAAAAAATATATAGTGATACCTCATTGTGATTTCGTGTTTCCCTAAAGACTACTGATGCTGAATTTTTAAAAAAAATTTTTTTCAACGTTTTTATTTATTTATGGGACAGACAGAGACAGAGCATGAACGGGGGAGGGGCAGAGAGAGAGGGAGACACAGAATCGGAAGCAGGCTCCAGGCTCTGAGCCATCAGCCCAGAGCCCGACGCGGGGCTCAAACCCACGGACCATGAGATCGTGACCTGGCTGAAGTCGGACGCTTAACCGACTGCGCCACCCAGGCGCCCCTGAATATCTTTTTACATGCTTATTGGCCAGTCCTACACTTCTTTGTGAAGTTGTGTGTTGAAATTGTTGGCCACATTTTAGTCATTATTTCCTTTATTATTGAACTGTAGGCTCCTTATATATCCTAGATATAGTCCTTTAACCAATATATTGTGCAAATATTTCCATCTAGTCCATATTTTATCTTTTCACTTATTTAACAGTGAGTTTTATTTATTTTTTAAAGAAACACAGTAAAACAGTGAGTTTTAAAGAGCAGAAATATTTTATTTTGATGAAGCCTAATTTATCATTTTTTTTCTTATATGGTTCATGCTTTGGGCCCTACTTAGCAAATCTTTACCAACCAGAGGACACAAAGACTTGCTCATATATTTCTTTCTTGAGGTTATACAGGCTTTACATTTAGGTCTGTAATCAATTTTAAAAGCTGATTTTAAAAATTCAGGTATAAAAAAGATGGTATGAACAGGGCTGAAATAAATTTTATTGCATTTAGGTGGCCAACAGTTCCAGTCTTTTTAGCTGAAACTATCCTTTCCCTGTTGAATTGCCTTGAAACTTTTGATCAAAAACTAATTAAAAATTAAATTAATGGGGTTATCTACGTGGCTCCGTTGGTCAAGCATCCGACTTTGGTTCACGTCATGATCTCATGGCTCAGATTCTCTGCTGTTAGTGCAGAAACCGCTTCAGATCCTCTGTCTCCTCTCTCTGCCCCTCCCCCATGCTTTCTCTCTCTCAAAAATAAACATTTTTTAAAAAGTAAATAATTAATATGTGTAAGGGTCTGTTTCTGAACTCTTATTCTGCCTATTGATGTATATGTGACCAATCTTACCCCAATACCACACTCACTTGATTATATGTAGCTCTTAGTAAATCTTGAAATCAGACAGTGTGAGTCCTCCAACTTCTTCTTTTTGAAAGGTGTTTTGGCTATTTTAGGTCCTTTGCACTTCCATATAAATTCTAAACTTATCTTACTGATTTCTTTAAAAAAAAAAAATGCCTGCTGGGATTTTGGTTGGCTTGGTGTTGACTCCATAGATCAATTTGGAAAGAACGGACATCTTTGTAATAATCAGTCTTCCATTCCGTGGACACAGCGCATCTCTTCGTTTTAGATTTTATCTCATCAATACACAAAATCTTGTATGTATTTTGTTACATTTATCCCTAAGGTGTTTAATGTTTTTGATGTGATTATAAATAGTGCTTTTAAAAAATTTCAATTTCTAATTCTTATTAGTTAGAAATATAGCTGAGTTTTGTTTAGTGATCTTGCATCATATCCTATGAACTTGCTACATTCACTTATTAGTTTTTAGTAGTATTTTTGTATATTCCTTGGGATTTTCTACATATATGATGT